GTTTTCAAGGATGGCTAAGATGCTGCCATTGTAAAAATTGGAATGCAGATCAAGATGTTGTTCAGGCCAGGGAAGAACATAAAAGCTTCATGAAATACCAGAACTTGCCAGAGGAAAGACTGTCAATTACTGGGTCATCTAGAACACAATCATTTATCAGCTGTGTGTAGTAAGCATATTAATTTGCCTTTCTGAGCTTTGATTTCCTCACTATAAATAAGGGTAGAAATATTTACTTCCCTGAATGGTTGTGAGGATTAAATAAGAGGATGTTTGGCATCAGGTCCTCAACAAATGGTAGGATTATTGAGGCTATTATTATTAACATGAATTTTACTAGTGTGAGTTGATGTCACTGTTTTGGGAGGCAGTGTGGCAGAATGAAAGACATGGACTTTGGATTTAGGCAGATCTGGTTTTAAAGTCCTGGCACCTCTTACCAACCCTATGACTTTGGGCAACTTACCTTTATTTTTTTCTCCTTAATAGAAGCAGTTGTTAGTTGCCTCAATCAGAAGGTTGGCATAAAGATTAATTTAAATAGTATGTATTAAGTGCTTAGACAAAGGATGTCGTCAATAGATGGCATTTAAAATCATATTAAAACACAAATATATTCTGTTAATATTCATAAAACATCTCTCATTTGCTTGCCCAGAGGACCCCTGAACCACTGTATTCATGACACCCTGTAGGCTCTAGTGTTTGAAGATACCCACATGCTATAGATTTTGTCCTGTGACTTTGGTTTTTTGGTAGCTGTGCAGTCCTTTCTTGGTTCCTGGCTGCAGAGCTCATGGTACAACTATTTTTGTAACCCACTGTGGCAGCTGTGTCCTCGTTCATTCATTCACTGGCATCACAAAACCTCTTCTTCCACTTGCTGAGCCAGAGCTGCTCTTCATCTGCTGATTGTGGGGAGGGAGTATTTGTGGATTCAGTCTCAAAATAGATTACTTTTGTCCTAATAAATAATGCCAAGCATAGCAGAGGGAAGGAAGCACATTTCCCAGAGCTGAAGAGTTCACACCACAATTTGAATGTCTTCCAGAAAGTTGTCAACTGTTTAAGTCTAGCTTTTAGATAATTATATCCTTAGCTAGAGACTCAGAAATCTGAACAGTTAAAATGAGGAGAAAGCAGACTCATCTGGCTCTTTCTATACAGTGCCTCTTCAGTATAAAATGACCCATTTAAAATATATATTCAGTTCACTCTGATTTCTATTCTGTTTGTCATGGTCTTGGACCTGAAGGGACTTTTGAGTTATCTGTTGTCACTTTGAAGTGTGGCCTGTAATGGGGCAGCCACCTGAGCTCTCTAGGGGCTTTCCAGGGGTTATGCTTCTTAATAGGAGGTAAAAATATTGCACACACACTTGAAAAGTCTTTGATCTGTCATTTAATTGTGCTTTTTTGGATCATCTGTGCTTTTTGCCTTTCATTCTATCTGTTCATGTCCTTCCCAATTCTAATGGCCTCACGTTCACTGACTTTTCTTAAGTTTGATCTTTTGCCCTTATGATTTCTTAAGTATCACCCCTTCATTTGTTTGAGAGATGGTATAAAATAGAGGAGAAATTATGGACTTTGGAGTCAGAGAAACTGATAATCCTACATAGGTTTGATAGGAAATTACTTGAGTAAATTACTTAATCTCACTTTCCTCCACTAGAAAATGGAGACAGTAATATTTCTTTTAAGGTTGTTATGATTCAGAGATAGAGTTAGGAACAAAATAGATATTGGTGCTTAGTAAATAGTAGCAATGATTATTATTCATTTACTACTTTCTAATTATCTCTTTACCAAAACAAACTTTGATTGAGTGTGCACCGTTGCCTGAGAGGTGACCCTTGCCTGTGGGTGTCTCTTAGTGTAGCATAGAGATCTTTGGGTGAAGTTAAGAGTTTCAGTGAATTTCTTGAAGTAATATGGGAACTTTTTATATAACCATGCTATAGGCATTTGTCTAGGAAGAAGGTTCATGATTTTGAGCAGATCCTTAGCTATGTCTATAACACTGCAAAAACTAAGAACTTCTGCTATCTCCACCTGGATATTCTGCCATGTGTGCTCATTGTTCATGACATCTATTTTTTTCCTCTTAATTAAAAAAAAATGTTCTAATTAATTATAGATGACAGTAGAATGCATTTTGACAGATTGTACACAAATGGAGCACAACTTCTCATTCCTCCAGCTGTACATGGTGCAGAGTCACACACACATACACACATATATATATAGGGTAATAATGTCCATCTCATTCCACCGTCCTTCCCACTCCACACCCACTCCCCTCCCTTCACTCCCCTCTCCCAACCAAAGTTCCTTCATTCTTTCCTCCCCGCCCCCCCCATTATGGACCAGCATTCACTTATCAGAGAAAACATTTGGTCTTCGTTTTTTTGGGATTGGCTTATTGCACTTAGAATGATATTCTCCAACTCCATCCATTTACCTGCATATGCCATAATTTCATTCTTCTTTAAAGCTGAGTAATATTCCATTGTGTATATATACCACATTTTCTTTATCCATTCATTTGTTGAAGGGCATCTAGATTGGTTCCATAGTTTAGGTATTGTGAGTTGAGCTGCTATAAACATTGATGTGGCCATGTCACTATAGTATGATTTTAAGTCCTTTGGTTATAAACTGAGGAGTGGGATAACTGGGCATGTCACCTATTTTGACTACACGGAAAATAGGTGGTATTGCTTCACTCTTTAAAACAAGGGTATCATTTCATTCCTCCAAAAAGAAACCCTTTACCCTTTAGTTGTCATCCCATCTCCCATACTCTCTAGCCATAGACAATTGTTTATACACAACTTTTCTTTATAAATTTGCCTCATCTGATGTTTCATAGAAATGCAATTATACACTATTTGGTCCTTAGTGATTGGCTCTTTTTGTTTAGTTTTTTTCTTCTTTTTGGTACTGGAGATTGAACCTAGGGATGCTTTACTACTGAGCTACATCCCCAGCCCTTTTTATTTTTTTATTTTGAGACAGAGTCTCACTAAATTCCTGAGGGCCTCACTAAGTTGCTGAGGCTGGCCTCAAACATGCACTTTTCCTGTCTCAGTCTCTCTACCCTCTGGGATTACAGACATGTGCCACTATGCCCCACTTCTCATTTAATATGTTTTCAAAGTTCATTCATGTTGTTAACATTTTGTTTTTATATTCTTTTTAAAATTGAGCACAGTAGGGTTGGGGTTGTAGCTCAGTGGCAGAGCACTTGCCTGGCACATGTGAGGCACTGGTTCAATCCTCAGCACCACATAAAAATAAACAAATAAAATAAAGGTATTGTGTCCATCTACAACTAAAAAAAAAAAAAAAGAAAGAAAAACTTAGCACAATAGTTGACACATAAAAGCCTTTTAAAAACAGACTTTATTTTAGAATAGTTTTTAATTACAGAAAAGCTGCAACAATTGTAAAGTTCATATATAACGCACATCCTCTATTATTAATATTTTACATTAGTAGGATACATTTTTAATGATTAATGAACCAATATTGATATATTATTATTAACTAAAGTCCGTGCTTTATTCAGATTTCCTAAGTTGAAAATTATCTTTTTCTGGTCCAGGATCCCATCTAGAATATCATATGTAGTCATCATGTTTCCTTAGGTTCCACTTGACTAGAAAAATTTCTCAGATTTTTCATTTTTGCATAATGAGCTTTTCACACATACATGTTGAACGAATTATTTCTCCTAGTGGGCAGAATTTTCTCTTTATTCTATGGGACCTTAAGGATAGACATTTAGTATTTGTTATCTAGTTCATAAAAAGACCCTCGTATATGTTAAATATTGCTTTTGTAAAGATACTACTGATCCAGGTGTGGTGGGACATGCTTGTAATCCCAATAGCTCAGGAGGTTGAAACAGGAGGATCACAAGTTTGAGGCCAGTCTTAGCAATTTAGGCCCTCAGCAACTTAATGAGACTCTGTCTCAAAGTGAAAAACAAAAAGGGCTAGGGGCTGGGCATAATGGCTCATGCCTGTAATCCCAGTAACTTGAGAGCAGGAGGATTGCAGGTTTGAAGCCAACTTCAATTTAGCGAGGCTATAAACAATCTAATGAGACTCTGTCTCAAAATATAAAATAAAAAGGGCTGGGGATGTGGCTTAGTGGTTAAGCAACCTTGAATTGAATCACTGGCACCAAAAAAAAAAAAAAAAAAAAAAACCCAAAAAAACGGTGGGGAATGGCTGGGGAGGTGTAGCTCAGTGGTAGAGTGTCCCAGGTTCAATTCCCCAGTACCAAAAAAGGATACTTCTGATCTTCCAAATGAGTGCTAGCTGGGCAGGATGAGTTTTTTTTTTTTTTTGTGTGTGTGTGTGTGTGTGTGTATGATGGGGATGGAAGTCAGGGCCTTTGTGCATACTAGGCAAGCTTTCTACCACTGAGTCATTTCTCCAGGCTCCAGAGTGAGATTTAAATAAAGGAGGAAAGCTGTTACTACTGTCACCTCTCAGTATTGTTATTATTATAATTATTTTTGAAAGAGACAATGTGCTGTAATAGAGGCGTAGCCTTTGGAATGAGAGTCCTCTTAGCCTCTTTATCAACCATAATTTTTTTGGAATATAATCTTTCTAGACCTCAATTGCCTCATTTATAAAATTGTCTTGTAGTGTTCGAGAATTAAAGATTTTTAAAAGCCCCTCTTTATTATGGTAGATGCATAATAGGTGTTGGTTGATATTAGAAAAACATGGATCAAATTGGAGAGGGGAAACAGGATGGGAAAGCAAAGGGGAGAGGACTTTTGTTTTTTAGCATTTAGGAAAGATGATTACTTTGGTTGCTTGCATGTTTGGCATTAACTGTAGGCTACCTTCTTTGCTAGGTAAGAAACTTTGGATACTATGTTTTGGTTTGTGTACTGGGGGTTTCCAGCCTCTTTGCAAAGAGGTACTTGAAGTCCTGTGCAAGGTTGATTGTCCTAACATGGCTGTTTTGCTGTAGGTGCTGTGCCTGCGGAACAATACCATTTTTAAGCAAGGCTTTTCCCACTTGAGGTAAGGATATTAGTAACAAATATAGCTAACAGTAGCATTCATAGTTCACATAGCATTTTTCTTTCCTCATGTCTGCTTCTATGACTACTAAGCATCTTTAATCCCCTACCATCTTACTTCTTCCCCATTCTCAGTTAAAGACAGTTCCAGTCATCTGATTGCAATCCTTGTCACTGTTATTTCTCTTATTTTATACCCAATTCTTCAACAAAACTTGTTGAAGACTTTTTTTGTGTGTATGTGTGTGTGGTGTTGAACCCAGGGGCTCTCTACATATCCCCAGCCCTTACAAAAATGTTTTGTTTTGTTTTTTTCTGAATTGCTGAGGCTGGCTTCAGACTTGTAATTTTCCTGCCTTCAGATTCCTAGGTTTACAGGCATATGGCATGGTGCCCAGCTAAATCAAGCCATTTCTGACCTCCAGTTTTTAGCCTAATGCTTTCTGTTTTGCTAAACCACTGGGGAGCAGCTCTTCATCTTCACTTCACTTTTGCTACCATCACTCTTCTTTCTAACTGATCTTCCTGTGTTTACTTTTAACTTCTCTCCTTCACACTAAAATCAAAGTGATTCTTTCAAAACCAAGTTAGTTTACATTACCACTCTTCAGCTCAAAATTCTCCAGTGGTATTTCCTCTTACTCAAAATAAAATCTACAATCCTTACCATTGCCCATAGGCCTTATGTAATCTGCTCCCTCATTTTATGCTAGTTATTCAGCTTTGCCACACTGGTGCCTTCCTATTCCTGGATGATCTAAGCACTTTCCCACCCCAGATTTTTGCAGATTCTTTCTTTTGATATCCATATGACTCACCCTCTGACTTTATTTAGATTTGTGCCTGAACATCATCTCATCAGAGAAGTCTTCTGTTACACTGTATGTAAAATACCTCTCTCAGTCTCTTATCCCTTTACCTTGCTTTATTTTTCTTAATGGCAGATATTACTCTTTAATGTATTCTACACATATAATTTTTTAAAAACTCTCTGTACCCTTCCCCTGAATATAAACATCATTGGGATAAAGTCTTCATTAGTTTTGTTATTGCCTAATTCTTAAGACCTGGAATGAAGTCTGGTAGTGAACATTTAACAAATATTTGTTAAATGTTCACCTGGTAAAAGGAGTGATAGTATCTGAATTTTTTACATGAATAAATTGAGGTCCAGAGAAGTCAATCTCTTGCTCTAAGATGACATAGCTAATATGAGTCAGAATTAGGGTTCAAACCCAAATTGTTGTTTTACTGAACTGCTTATAGAGTACATCCTCCCCATTGTTTTTCTCAAATGAACTGCATTTGGTAGTTTATTCAGCAGCTAATTATCAAGTGTCTTATGAGTAGTAGGCACAGGATATAAAACAATGAATTGCTTGTCTTTCTGGACATTCGCAAGACTTGATGATTTTAAGAGTCCTCACATTTTATTTGAATCCTTTTTCTTATTTCTTTTCTGTCTCAATCTGTTTTTTCATCATTAGTCATTCAGCTACTATTTGATAAGCGCTTACTAAGGCCATGCTGGTCACTTTACATGTTACATCTAACTTTCTCAAAAACACTAACAGGACAGATAACTTTCTCATTTCACAATAGAGGAAACTGACTCAGAGCTTAAGATAAATTTTCAGTCCCATGAGGTTGTACTATTATTATTTATATTGTGAAGAAAAGATAATTGAGTTACAGTGATATTAAACAACTTGCCTAAGGTCTCAGTTTGGGAATGGTTGAGTCAGCATTCAGTCACAGATTTGCTTTTCTTCAATTTATACCATAATTTAGTTTTAAAACTCCTAGGATGGATGCTGGGGATATAGCTCAGTTGGTGGAGTGCTTGCCTCGCATACACAAGACCCTGGGTTCAATCCCCAGCACCACAAGACAGACAAACAAGCAAAAAAACTCCTAGGAGGTGGTGGAACTAAAATACTCCAGTTACCTAGTCAGCCAATCACAGCCAAATTATTTTCTTTTCTATAGTCTGGCTTCAGCTGTCATTACTTTTTTTTTTTTTTTTTTGCAGTATTAGGGATTACCACTGTACTACATCCTCACCCTTTTTTACTTTGAGACAGGGTTTCCCTAAATTGCTGAATTGCCTGAGCTGCTCTCAAGCTTGCTGTCCTCTAACCTCAGACTCTCAAGTAGTTGGGATCAAAGGTGTATGCAACCACACCCTCCCTCAGCCTGTTTTAATAATGGGCTATGGCAAGAACCACCTCACTTGTTCTCTTTGACTCAGTCTTACTTCTTCCTATTCTATCACTCATCTGCTTCCTATTCCAAATTCAAGCTCGATATCATTCCTGTGCTTAAAATCTGCAAGAGCATCCCATTGCCTATAGAGAGTAAAGACCAAACTCCTTAGCATAGCATATGGAGTTCTTCATAACCTGGCCTCTGAATACCTCTCCAATTTTATCTTTTCACCCTGCCTCCTTCCCTACTGCTTAAATTCCATTCATATCCGCTGCTTGCTGTTCCCCAAACATACCCTTTCATATTTTTGCCTAGAATGCTTTTCTTGCAATGCTAAATAATTGACAACAGTTCTTTTTTGGGTGGGGGGTACCAGAGATTGAACTCAGGTGTACTCAACCACTGAGCCACATCCCCAGCCCTATTTTGTATTTTATTTAGAGACAGGTTCTCGCTGAGTTGCTAGCGCCTCACCTTTTGCTGAGGCTGGCTTTGAACTTGCGATCTTCCTGCCTCAGCCTCCCCAGCTGCTGGGATTATAGGCATGCGTCACTGCGCCCGGTGACAACAGTTCCTTTTTATTTACTTAATTATTTCTGTGCTGGGGATTAAATCTAGGGCCTTGCGCATGGTAGGCAAGTGATCTACTATTCCTCCAGCCCATAGTTCCTTATTTTTGTTTTATTTTGGCTTTTTGGTAGTGGGGATTGAACCCAGGGGTGCTAAACCACTGAGCTACATCCCCAGACCTTTCATTTTTTTGAAATAGAAACTTGCTAAATTGCTGAGGCTGCCCTTGAACTTGGGATCTTCCTGCCTTAGACTCACTGGGATTACAGGCCTGTGCCACTCCACTCAAACATAGTTCCTCATTTTTAAAAACTCAATTCAAATAGTTCTGCCTCCCTGGTAGAAGTGACCATACTTTGCTTTGTGTGTCCTATTGAATCTTTTTTTTTTTTTTTTTTTTTCTTCAGTGCTAGGGATTGAGTCCAGAGTCTTGTGCATACTAGGCAAGCACTCTACCAGTGAGCCACATCTCTAGTCCTTGTACTGAATCTTGTCCATGTTTCTGTTCTGGATCAGTACTATATTTGCATTTATGTCCATACATCATTCCCACGTACACAGAGATATCTTACTTATATTTGCATCCTTAGGAGCTGCCACTTTGGCATATAATGATAGAAGCGTAATAATGTTTGTAGAAAGAGGGAATAAGGAAATATCTAGCATTGGCATATCCTGAGGAGCATAGAAGTTTTGGTAACTTTACAAATAAATGTGGATACCTAATTGGATTAAACATACTTTCTCCTTCTCTTTAGATTCAGAGCTTTGGGAGAGAATCCCATTTATTCTGCAGGTAAGTGGTTATTTCCTTGTATGGTCTGCCTACTTTAAGTGACCTTCTATTCTAGCATTCTATAATAATTTTGCCTAGAAGGATGCCTACCACATATTTGAGAATAGTAGCAGAGACCAAGTCCCACCCCTTGCATAGAATGAACCATGAGGGAAAACCTGAAGTAGTGGTTAAGAGTGAGTGTGCTGTAGTAAGTTTGTATTCCACCTGTACCACTTACTAATTCTGTGATCTTTGGCTTCTTCTCTGTAGCTTGTTTCCACATTTAAAAAAAAAAAAAAATGGGGATGACTCTAGAAAAAACTGCAGTGAACTATTTGAAGATTCAATGAAATAAAATGCATAATAATAATAGCATCTAACTTTTTAAAGTGTTCAAAAAAAGTTAGCTTCTGTTGTTACTGTTAATAATGTTACTGTTTCAGACCTATCTTTGAGGCCCACAATCTACCAGATAAGGTTTTTCTTACAATATTTTATCTAGAACTAATGTCCATTTAATCTGATTGATTCAACTAACTTCTTTTTTTGTCTTTCTTGTGGTGCTAGAGATCAAACCCAGGGCAGGACCTCATGCTAGGCAAGTGCTCTACCATTTTAAACTGCATCTCCAGCCCAATTCAACGAATTTCTTTTCTTTTTCTTTCTTTCTTTTTTTTTTTTTTTTTTTTTGCCATGCTGTTGATTGAACTCAGGGTCTCATGCATACCAGGCAAGCACTCTATCACAGCCATATTCCCAGCTCCGCTAATTTCATTCTCTGTGTCAACCCAATTACTTTCCATTTTTACTGTGTAGCAAGTGGCAAATTTTAAAGCAATTGTTAGAGTCTAATGCTATCCGTCATGTGACTGAATAGTATTAGAGATAAAGGTATGTGTAAGTGAGGAAGGGAACTAACTGACTCAGTGCCTGCTAGGCAAGACAGTGTAAGAGGCTTTACATATGTTAATTATTTTATTTTATTTTTTTTAGTTATTCGTGGGCACAATATCTTTATTTTGTTTATTTATTTTTTTATATAGTGCTGAGGATCGAACCCAGGGTCTCACATGTGTGAGGCGAGTGCTGTACTGCTGAGCCACAACCCCAGCCCATGTTAATTATTTTAAAGGATAGTAACAATGTGTTAGGAACCACCACTGCTACTAGACCCAAAGCCCAGTATCTCAAAATACGGGTTTTATTTATTCATTCTCTCAGTAAACATATATTGTACCAAGGTGTTTGTTAGGTGGTAGGGATACAAAATTAAGAAGATATGGGCTGGGGTTGGGCATGGTGATGCATCCCTGTAATTCTGTGACTCTGCAAGCTGAGGCAGAAGAATCACAAGTTTGAGGCCAGCCTCAGCAACTTAGTGAGAACCTGTTTCAAAAATAAAAAATTAAAAAAAAAAATGGAACTGGAGGTGTATCTCAGTGGTAGAGCACCCATAGGTTCAATACCTCCAGAACCATACACACATACACACACACACACAAAAAAAGGAAGAAGATATGGTCTGGGGGGATGTGTAGCATGGTAGTATACTCACTTGGAGTATACTTACCTTGCATGTGCAAGTCCCTGGATTTGATCCTCAGTACCCCTAAAAAAATAAAACAAAAACAATAACAAAAAGCAAGGATATAGTTATTTCTTGCCATTTAGAAGCTTACAGTCTTCTAAGAAATAATTTTGGGGCTGGGTTTGTGGCTCAGTGGTAGAATGCTTGCCTAGCATGTGTGAGGCATTGGGTTGGATTCTCAGTGCCACATATAAATAAATGAATAAAATAAAGGTCCATCAACATCTAAAAAATTGAAAAAAAAAAGAAATATTTTTTCTCTCAAGAATAATACAGTGAGCACTTATTCAATACCCACCACTTAGATTTAGCTATCAATATTTTGTCATGTTAACCTTCCTTATCAGATATGATATTTCATCCCTAAATGTTTCAGCATGCATAGGACATTCTCTGTGTTCTGTTGAAGAAACATAATGCCATTATCTCTCTCAAAAAAAGTTAATAATAATGCCATAATATCATCTAGCATTCTATCCATTTTCTCATTTGTCCTTCAAATTTCTTTTCTGATTGAAATTTCACACTTTGCATTTTGCCATTTGTCACTGTTAATCTAAAACAGTTCTGCCACTTTTCTTCTCTGATAATAGTGATTTTTTTTTTTTTAATACTGAGGATTGAATTTTGGGCCTTACACCTGATGGACAGGTGTTCTGGTTATCACTAAAAAACCCAGCCCAGCAGTGTTTTTTTGTTGTTGTTTTTTTAAAACAGTTCTGGGGATTGAACCCATGGGCAGTCTGCCACTGGGCTACATCCCCAGTCCTTTTAACTTTTATTTTGAACAGGGTATTGCTAAGTTTCCCAGGTTGGCCTTGAATTTGCCATTCTCTTGCCTCAGCCTGAAGAGTCACTGGAATTATTGGCATGTACCACCATGCCAAGTCCAACAGTGATGTTTTTGATGAGACTTGACTATTTATCTTAAAGAATATCCTTTCTTCTGATTTGTCTATTTATTTTCTCATGGCATGGCATAACATGTTCTTCTGCCCCCTTCCTACAAACTGGAAGTTAGATCTAAAAGCTTTAGTTCCAACAGTTTTAGAAAGAAAACATCATAGCTGATACTCTGAATTTTATATTGCATCCTATCAGGAGAATTTTTAAAAACTAAGAATATATGATTATAAAATTAAAAAGCAGGGCTGGGGATGTGGCTCAAAAGGTAGTGTGCTCACCTGGCATGCGTGCGGCCCGGGTTCGATCCTCAGCACCACATACAAAGATGTTGTGTCTGCCGAAAACTAAAAAATTTTAAAAAAATATTAGAAAAATAAAAATAAAAAGCAGCCAGGTGTGGGGGCACTGTAGTTCCAGTTGTTCAGGAGGCTGGGGTAGGAGGGTCATAAGTTTGAGGCCAGAATCAGCAACTCAGCAAGACCTTGTCTCAAAATGTAGAAAGGGCTGGGGATAACATTCAGTGGTAAAGCACACCTGGGTTCAGTCGCCATTAATGAAAAAAAAAAAAGAAAGTAAAAAGCATTTCTTTTTGTGAATATGGAGAACACATCCGCACCCACACCACACTCAGGAAGAAACTAAAAAAGAAGATTATTATGTAACATTTTGTCATATATCTTTTTTAAAAAAATGCTTTTTTAGTTGTAGATGGACACAATAACTTTATTTAATTTACTTATTATTGTGTGGTGCTGAGAATTGAACCCAGTGCCTCATATGTGCTAGGCGAGTGATCTACCAATGAACCACAAGCCCAGCCTCACATGGCATATATCTTAACAGGTTGCTTGCTCTTTTTCTGTCACAACATATTGTATTTTTTTCCCTTATTCTGTGTGTGTGTTATAATAATGGAAACATTATTATAACCTTCTCTTTTTGGGGGGGGGGGGCTACCAGGGATGGAACTCAGGGGCACTTGACCACTGAGCCACATCCCTGTCCTTATTTTGTATTTTATTAGAGACTGGGTCTCACTGAGTTGCTTAGCGCCTCGCTAAATTGCTGAGGCTGGCTTTGAACTCGTGATCCTCCTGCCTCCACCTCCTGAGTGGCTGGGATTACTGGCATGAGCCACCATGTCCAGCCTAATCTTCTATTTTTCACTTTATCTATGGTGAACATATTTATACTAAAAAATATCTACATTGTTATTTTGAATGGCTGCATTTGAATGGGGGCAAAATTTTGAGTTTGAACATGTTGAATTGGAGTGCCTTTGAGGGTATTAAGTAGGACACTGGAAATGCTGATTCTTAGTTCAAACTGTAGGTCTGGATTGAAACTATAAGTTTGGAAGTCATCATTTTGTTGATTTTAATTGCAGCCATGAGAGTGAATAAGATCACCTAAGGAGAAAAGACAGAGGATGGATTAGTAGATCCTGAGAAAAATGGCTAATGAAGAAAGATGGAAAAAAACAGGATAGTATAGTTTCCCGGCAGGCAGGAGGAGTGTTTGGGGAAGGAAAGAGTGGTCAACTATGTCACAGTTTCAATTTCTTGTGCTGAGAGACCAGGAAAGATATGAGTGTAACAATATTGTATGCATTTTAACAACATAGAGATCATTGGTGACCTTAGGGAGAGCAGTCTGTGTAGATGGAATGGGTGGAATGAGTTGACAAGTGAATGAAAGTTCAGGAGTTAGAGAAAGCCACTATAAACAATGTTAAGAAGTGAGATTGAATTGGAAAAGAGATTCAGGAGCTGGAGAGGGATATGGGGTTGAGGGAAGGATTTGTGTGTGTGTGTGTGCGCGCGCGCGCGCGCGCGCGCGCGCGCTGCATGCACATACATGTGGTTGTTTTTATTAATTTAATTTGAAAGTTAAATCTGTAGAAAAGTAAAAATGGTCATATGTTCAAAAACCCCTGTATTGGGAACTATTAACATTTTGTCAGATTTTTGTTGTCTTTTTTTATTTTTGTATTAAAAACAAAACAACAAGGGTTATATTCAAATCTTCTTTATTCCCTTTCCTTAGACTCATCTCTTTTCCTTAAACCAGAGGCAAACTTTGTTTAGAACAAATAAATATTCTGAGGAAGGATTTTTAAAAAAATTACTATTTAAATTATCAACTTTTAAAAATATGAAATTGGAGAAGGGTAGGGAAGAATGAAGGAACTTCGGATTGTGCAGAGGGGCATGAGGGGAAGGGTGAAGCAGTGGGAATGGGAAGGAGGAGGATAGAATGATAGAATGAGACAGACATTATTACCCTATATACATGTATGATCACAATATTGGAATGACTCAGCACCATGTACAGCCAGAGGAATGAGAAGTTATACTCCATTTGTGTACAATGTGTCAAAATATATTCTATTATGTATAACTAGTTAGAACAAATTTAAAAATATGAAATGGATACATGGTAAAAGTAAATATAAATGAAACAAAAACAGAATAAGATGAAAAATTAAATATTCTTTGTCTTTCCCAGTCAGTAGTAGCTGCTG